AACCCGCAGGCTCAGGCAATCCACTCACCTCAGCCTCCCAAAGGTGTGGGATTACAGGCTGAGCCACCGAGCCCGGCTATAACTCATTTTTTGAGTATCTATTGAATGCTGGGGACTGTGTGTGCCAGACCCCAGAGATATAATGATAATCCCATTGCCATTTCTGCCTCTTGTGGAAAATGAAGGTTTCAGACCTAAGAAGTAAAGCTTGTCTTTTGTAGGAAGGGATTCTGGGTACCTGCTGCTCTAGCTGACAGTCTCCATGTTTCCTTAGGGGAAAGGCATTGAAGAACGGCAGCAACTCATCAAGCAGCTAAGGGATGAACTACGATTGGAAGAAGCCCGACTGGTGCTGTTAAAGAAGCTGAGACAGAGTCAGCTACAGAAAGAGAATGTGGTCCAGAAGGTAATGTGTCTTAGAAATATGGGACTCTAGAGGGAAGGAAAGAAAAAGATTTTTTGTTTTTGCGTTGGAGTCTCACTCTGCCGCCCAGGCTGGAGTGCAGTGGCACACTCATAGCCAGCCCAGCATCGTCCTGCTGGGCTCTAGCGACCCTTCTGCCTCAGCCTTCCAAGTAGCTGGAACTACAGGTGCACACTACTATGCCCAGCTAATTTTTTATTTATTTTAGAGATGAGGTCTCGCCAAGTTGCCTGGGCTGGTCTTGAACCCTTGGGCTTAGGCAATCCACTCACCTCACCTTCCCAAAGTGCCAGGATTACAGGTGTGCCACCAAGCCCAGCCAAGAAAAAGTGGTTTGAGAGTAGGCTAGGCCAAGTAGGTTTAGTTGGGTGGCTTGTTCTTCTCTGGGTCCATAGTTTTTAGTCTATAGGAGTAGTGATTTTTTATTTTTTTATTTTTTAAATTTTTTTGAGTTGGAGTCTCACTCTGTTGCCGCTTCCGGCCGCTGCAGCCTCGACTTGCTGGGCTCTGGCGATTCTTCTGCCTCAGCCTTCCAAGTAGCCGAAACTACAGGTGTGCACTACCACGCCCTGCTAACTTTTTTTTTTTTATTGTAGAGATGAGGTCTCACCAAGTTGCCCAGGCAAGTCTCGAACCCGCGGGCTCAGGCAGTTCACTCACCTCGGTCTCCCAAAGCGTTGGATTACAGGCTGAGCCACTGAGCCCAGCGATTTTTTTTTTTTAAATCTTAGGCCTTAATTAAGAAAACCTTGAATCCATTTTCCTCCTGGTCAACAGGAGCTTCACATTGACAAGGAGTTTTAAAGATCTAGAAATGCAGACCTTGGTTGCTCAGCCTGTAATCCTGCGCTTTGAGAGGCTGAGGTGAGTGGATTGCCTGAGGCCGCGGGTTTGAGACCTGCCTGGGCAGGCGAGACCTCATCTCTACAATAAATCAAAAAACTAGCCGGACGTGGTAGCGTGTGCCTATAGTTCCAGCTACTTGGAAGGCTGAGGCGGAAGGATTGCCGGAGCACAGCAGGTGGAGGCTGCAGTGGCCGGAAGTGTGCCACTGCACTCCAGTCGGAGCCGCAGAGTGAGACTCCAACTCAAAAAAAAAAAAAAAGATCTAGAAATGTACCAGATTTCCACCTCTGATTATTGTCCTCTTCCATGGTCTCATTTTGTTTTCCCTCTCCCAGACTCCAGTTGTACAGAATGCAGCATCTATTGTTCAGCCATCTCCTGCCCATGTGGGACAGCAGGGCCTATCCAAGCTTCCCTCCCGCCCTGGAACCCAAGGGGTTGAACCTCAAAATTTGAGAACATTACAGGTATGTGACCCATAGTGAGATCTTAGTGTTTGAGGGCCCTGTCTGGTTTGGAGCTTTTTTTTTTTTTGAGTTGGAGTCTCACTCTGTCACCCAGACTGGTGTGCAGTGGCCGCTCCCGGCCACCGCATCCTCGACCTGCTGGGCTCTGGCAATCCTTCCACCTCAGCCTTCCAAGTAGCTGGAACTACTGGCGCCCGCTACCACACCCAGCTAATTTTTTTATTTATTGTAGAGATGCGGTCTCACCAAGTTGCCCAGGCGGGTCTCGAACCCGCGGGCTCAGGCAATCCACTTACCTCAGCCTCCCAAGGCACGGGATTACAGGCTGAGCCACCGAGCCTGGCTTGTTTGGGGGCTTTTATAAAGACTATCAAGAACCTGGCCATGTTAGACGAGTTATTACTACTGATCATTGTGTTGGTTCTTTGTGACATAGTTTAGTTTGTAATAGAAAGGTGAATAACCTCATCTTTCTGTGGTAGTTTTTCTTTCCTTTCCTTTTCTTTTTTTATTGTTGGAGTCTCACTCTGTCACCCAGACTGAAGTATAGGAACACAATCATGGTACAGTCTTGACCTGCTGGACTCAGGTGATCTTTCCATCTCAGCCTTCCAAGTAGCTGGAACTACAAGTACATGCCACCCCACCAGCTAATTTTTTTGTTTTTATTTTTGTAGAAATGAGGTCTCACTATGTTGCCCAGGCAGGTCTCAAAAACTCCTGGGCTCAAGCAATCCTCTTGCCTCGGCCTCCCAAAGTGCTGGGATTATAGGCATGAGCCACTGCACCAGTCTAGTTTTTTTTCTTTAGAAAGGTTTCTAACTTCTCTAGAGAAGGGTTAATTCTCTATCTAACTATATAGGATTTGATAGTTTACACCAAAAAAAGCCAGGGACTTCCCAGCCACTAATCAGGCTTTGCAGTAATGGTAGAGTTATCTCATAGATGTTAAATGAAATTACCAAGTCTGGCTGTTTTCCTTTACTTCTACTCAGCTGTGTATTATAGACAATGTTTCTCCTTCTGCATTTTGTAGGGCATTATACCATGTTTAACTGGTTATTTTCCTCTTCTTCCTCTTCAGGGTCACAGTGTCATTCGTTCAGCTACCAATACCACCCTCCCACACATGTTGATGTCTCAGCGTGTTATTGCACCAAACCCAGCCCAGCTACAGGGTCAGCGGGGTCCTCCTAAACCTGGCCTTGTACGCACCACAACACCCAACATGAATCCCACCATCAATTACCAGCCGGTAAGAGAGAGTCCTAATGTGGAAAAAGACATCACTGATTTGCTTTTCTTGTTGAAAGAATCATAGGTTTTATGTTTTTTTATAGAGAAACTCTAGGACAACAAGGGTGATTTGGGTGGAACTTGAATTGAGAACAACTCCCAAAGTGGAAGTTTTGAGGAATTATATAAAAATAGTAGTGGAGGAGAGAGGTGGTACAGCAGAGCAGCAATAAGCTAAATCTGCCTAGAAGAAAGAGATAGGTGATCTAGGGAATGAGAAGCATAATAATGTGTGACAAAAATTAAAATCTTTATTTTTCTCTTACCAGTTTTAGCTCTTAGCCATCATCATTCTCCTTCCCTACATACCAGGGTTCTTTATCAATGAATGAGTTGAATACCTCCTACTTTGGGGGATGCTAAGTAGTCCAGACTAGAATCAGACAGTGGCCTCAGTCAAGAATGCAGGAATTGGTTCTTTCTCCCATAAACCATCACTGACCCCATTCTCAATCTGTTTCAGCAGTCAAGTTCTTCTGTTCCCTGTCAGCGTACAACATCCTCTGCCATCTATATGAACCTTGCCTCTCATATCCAGCCAGGGACTGTGAACAGAGTGTCCTCACCACTTCCTAGTCCCAGCGCTATGACTGATGCTGCCAACTCACAGGCTGCAGCCAAATTGGCTCTTCGCAAACAGCTGGAAAAGACACTCCTGGAGATCCCGCCCCCTAAACCTCCTGCTCCCTTGCTTCACTTCCTGCCTAGTGCAGCCAATAGTGAGTTCATCTACATGGTGGGCTTGGAAGAAGTCGTACAGAGTGTCATTGACAGCCAAGGTAAGGTTGTTTCTTCTAGTCAATCTCTTTAAGCAAGTGATTATTAAGCCTGATAGACATTGGTAGAGTATCACAGGTTACTGTGCAATATTAAATAACCTCTCCTTCCTACTGCCAAGCCACCTCCTCTTCCTTATTTATAGGCTTTTTGGGAGCAACATATCAGAAGAACTGTGTGTGTGTGTGTGTGTGTCTTGGACTTAATTTTTTAATTTCTATTTTGTAAACCGTATATTTTTTGCAGTATAGTAAGTTCTTTCTTTCTTGTTGTTGTTGTTGAGTTGGAGTCTCACTCTGTCGCCCAGGCTGGAGTGCAGTGGCATGCTTACGACCACCCCAGTGTTGACCTGCTAGGCTCAGGCAATCCTTCCGCCTCAGCCAGAACTACAGGCACAGGCTACCATGCCCGGCTAATTTTTTAATTTATTGTAGAGATGAGGGCTCGCCAGGTTGCCCAGCCTGTTCTCAAACCCATGGACTCAGGCAGTCCCCTCACTGTGGGCTCCCAAAGTGCTGGGATTACAGGCTTAACCCACCAGTAAGTTCTTAACATCATCAATAGTTTCTTGGAACTGCAGCTTTAAGGGTGAAACAACTGCAGCAGATTCTCACATAACATCATTTTGTTACAGCATTGATGAGAGACTGGGTCTTTCTTTTTGAGAGACTCATCCATGTCTGGTCTTTCTGGCATGAGTCTTCCTCTTTCCCTCTCTTCTTCCTAATAAACTTTGTTTTAAAACTTAAAATAAGGCAACCTCTTCAGGTCCCCTCCCACTGTGGGAACTTTTCTGTCCACTCAATAAATCCTGCTTTCTCAAAAAAAAATAAATAAAAATAAAAACTTTAAAAAAATTAATTAGAGCCGGGCTCGGTGGCTCAGCCTGTAATCATGCGCCTTGGGATGCTGAGGTGAGTGGATTGCCTGAGCCCGCGGGTTCAAGACCCACTTGGGCAACTTGGCGAGACCTCATCTCTACAAAAAATCAAAAATCGGCCGGGCATGGTACAGCGCGTGCCTGTAGTTCCAGCTACTTGGAAGGCTGAGGCGGAAGGATCGCCGGAGCCCAGCAGGTCGAGGCTGCAGTGGCTGGGAGCGGCCACTGCACTCCAGTGTGGGCGACGGAGTAAGACTCCAACTCAAAAAAAAAAATTAATTAGAAAAAATGATTGGTTTTGTTATGTGATATTTTGCTTAAATGAAAGTCTGCAAGAACCTATCAGCAATATTGAAGACTTCCTGTATAACATTTAGTCTTTTAAATGGTTCCTAGCATGATGCATGCATAATTTGATGAATATTGCTCCTATTTATTTTTTTTTACTTCTACAGTGATGTAGAAGAAACTTCTATTTAATGTCAGTGTTTGTATAACATTGTGCTGAATTTCTGTGTTTAGTTTCTGCCCTTTGAGTTGAAAAACTAGATATAGTGATGTAGTATAAGTATAGTCATATAAAAGCTGCTAAGTATGACCATATAAAAGCTGTAAACCCGCCGGGCTCATGGCTCAGCCTATAATCCTGCGCCTTTGGGAGGCTGAGGTGAATGGATTGCCTGAGCCCG